TGGAAAGGCAGGAGGCAATAGAAATCAAAGTCACAGATTAAGTCTTAAGTTTCATGTGATGCTCAGCTGTGGTAGCCTTTTCTTTCTCCCAACGTGGTGGAAGGTATTTAAATGAAAAGTAGCCTAAGAGGCTGTAATTGAGATCAGGAAGAGCGACTGAGGGTAGCTGCTGCTAACTTCCCCTTTCTATTATTTACTTAAATTCCTCTTCCCCCACTTCTTTCTTATGAGGGAGGAGAGAGGAGTTCCGTGGATCTTTTCTAGCACATAGGAAGAAAAATCAGCTGAAGTGTATGATTTTCTGAGCAGAGAAATGGCAGGATGGGAAATATTAAGCAGCTCCTGCCTCCCACCATATTTTTATGTACTGGCGCCCTTCCATGGCTATTTCTCTCTTTTTTTAAAAAAAAAGTTATGAATAATAAGAGGACAGAACCATGCCGTATGCTATTTAGTCATAAATTGAGCAGGGGGCTGCTGGAATGCAGGACCACCTTTCAAAAACCTCTTGTTCAGAGGGATGACTAAAATGTATGTGCAAGACAGGAGTGTCTCTCTCCGTGCTGGGAACCAGGGTTGGATTGCCCTTATACTAGGAAGCCCATCGGGTAGCCTCCTAAGGTGTCTGCCCTAATGGGTGTGCTAAAGGTTTTACCATTTGCAGTTCAGCTACTAAATCTTTTTAAATTCAGTTTTAAAAAAGAAAGGGGGAGTTTGCCTAATGGCTTTCAGGTAATACAGAATATAACAATGATTGCCCATTAATTTTGCAATGTGTGATGAGGCTATTTTATTTTACCTGTGCCTGGGTGATGCAAGTTAAACTGAGGGGAAAGGGGTTTCCTGAAGTTCGCCTCTTGAACTTCACAGCTGCCCTGTTCTAACAGAAGAGGACATTTCAGAAGGAAGCTCCTCTCCCGTTATAGAGTTCAGAGACTTACTGACTTGCTGTCCCCTTTTCCCTTCTTTCACAACTGCCGGGCAGCCCTGACAGTGGACTCTGGAGACCTCCTACAATGAGCAAAGGGATCTCCGCAGCACAGGATTGATCACATTATTTCATGTTGCTTTCCTTAAGGGTAAACAGACTTATTTTGTGCCACAAACTATAATTTGAAAAATCTGCAGGCACACCCTTGGGTCTGGCCTTGAAAGGTAATGGCTTCCAGCATTCTTTCCAAGATATGTGAACTGGTTGCTAATGAGAAACAGAAAATAGCAGCTTTTTTAAAAAAAGCCATTAATCCCCTGTAGCAGGCTGCAGGTGGGAAAGAGGCGCTGGCCCTTAAAAAGAGCCTCTTGCAACAGAATACCAGCTACTTGAATTAGCAGATGGGCAACTGCTGTGTTCTGGCCATGAGACGAGAAAAGCTGTAGTAAAGATGGGTGGGGTGGGAATGAACAGGGGGAGAAAATGAATTATATCAACTGGCAAGAGGCCTGGACCTCCCTGTACACTGCAAGGGCAAGATACTCTGCCATCTTAACCAAGAAGAAATTCAGAAAACGGAAGGTGTTGTTGAAACCATTCATAGGTGGGACTTTTGGCAAATGTTTCCCTGACTTCCAAAGGAAAGGCCAAGCTGAGGCCAATTTAGGCTCCTCCTAACAGTTCCTGATCTCTGTGTCCTCCAATGCAAGCAATAGGGATGCCAGCCTACAGGTGGGACCTGGGCATCCCCCAGAATTAGAGAAGTAGAAGAGAAGAGATTGGATTTATACCTCGCCCTTCACTTGGAGTCTCAGAGCGGCTTACAAACTCCTTTCCCTTCCCCTCCCCACAACAGACACCCTGTGAGGTGGGTGGGGCTGAGAGAACTCTGACACAAACTGCTCTTTTTCAAGGACAGCTGTGCCAGAGCTTGTGACTGACCCAAGGTCACATCAGCAGGTGCAAGGGGAGGAGTGGGGAATCAAACCCGGTTCTCCCAGATTAGAGTCCGCACACTTAACCACTACACCAAAATGGCTCTCACCTGCAGACTGGAGAGGTCAATTCCCCTGAAGCCACCAGTCCCCCTGGAGAAAATAGATGCTTTGGAGGGTGAACTCTTTGGCATTGTACCCCACTGAGGTCCCTGTCCTCCCCAGTGTCCACCCCCCATATCTCCAGGAATTTCCCAACCTGGATCTGGCAACCCAACTCCCCACCCACCCCGACTGGTGGCCAGTAGGGACCTGGCAGCCCTGTGCAAGTGTGAGATCAGATCTGGCCTAATTTAACAGGGATCTTTGGTTATTGCTCCCACCTTTGTAGCAGACTGCCAGAATGGGCTCTCCTGACTGGCCTTTGGAAAACTGGAAGGCAGGGCTTCCCATTGAGCTTATGGATCAGATTATTTTCCATCTGATTTGAAGATGGTCTGTTTGGGGTGGTTTTGTTGTAGATTTTTTAATTAGTTTTGTGAGCCAATTGTGAAAAGTTTTGCCTGCTTAATTTCAGCATATTCGTCCACTGTCAAAAGGCCCAGGAGCAGGTCAGTTCAAAAGCTGGAAATTTCAATCCATTTTGAACAGAAAGGGTTTTTGAAACGCTATCCGTGCATCAGACTTATGAAAGTGATGATCTTTCCAAAATGAAGATCAGTCCACAAATGGAGTAAAGGGAAACATCGGCCCCATTCACACAGAGGATTTGCCATGGGAGAGCCACGAGTGCATGGCGGATTATCCGGGCATGATCACACCGCAACATCTGGGAAGTGGAGTGCACCCATGGCAAACCCGTGGTGTACCGCCGAAAATGTGGGATTAAAAACTGCTTGGAGGTACTAGCAACCGGTTTGCCATGGGCTGCCTCCGGAGTCCCTCGGTGTGATCGCGCCAGCCACGGCTTTTCCCTCCGGCCCCTCGTTGATGCGCAGGCGTGGAGAGAAGGAACCGTAGCGTGCTGCTGACGCATGGGATCACGTTATGGTGGCTCTAATTGTGGCGGTGCAAAAAGCCCCCCCCCCCAGATTATCCGGCCCGTGTGACCGGGGCCATCCTTCACTATAGTTGACAGCAAGCCCATTATATTCTGTGTCCACAGTATCCACATGCAGGTCTGCTCATGTAATTATGCAGGAATGAAGGAAGAGTGTAATATAAGGCTGCAGCTGAAAAATTCAGCTTCTAGAGGCTTTTAAAAAAAAAAAATTTAAACCACACAACTGCCTAGTCTATTTCCAAATGCATAGGCAAGGCCTGCTGGAATTGGCTGAATTTCCAGTAGTCAGTAGTGACTTCAATGACCTGCACAGTGCCCTTCCCCTATGACTAGCAAAACAGTCGGCAATGAACAATAAATCATGCAAGTGAAAAGAGATCATGACAATTCATTGTGGAGGGAGTTTTGCATGACAGAATCTTGTTTTTTCCTGGTACTTGGATACAGAACTTAAAAAAAAAAAAAACCTCTGAAGAACATACAGCCCTGTCTGTATGAAATAAATACATCAGACTAGCTGCACATCCTGTCTCATTCTTGAGGCTGAGCAGATGACAAGAGGCCCCCAAAGGTTCACCTGCCTCCTAAAAGCAGAGCTACAGAAAGCCCCCTTCCCATGAGGTTGGCGTATCAGTTGGCAGCAGAACACTCAGAGTATGGCTTCCCAATAAAACAATATAAATTTCCCCTTTGATGTTAGCTCTGGCAGCCTCTAGCCTGTATGTTTCATTATGCGCCATACCATCCAAAGGAGATTCACAGCTGATAGCCTGTGTAATGTTCAGGGTTGGTTGAGAGAGGCACAGTCTGAGTCTACTGATTCCCCCCCCCCCTTTGCTGGTTAAAGCTTTAAGAAGACAGAGAGAGAATACCATCCTGAGGTCTACCGTATTACCAATCTGCTATAAAAACTACCTGTTGGACACCTCAAAAGCTGGGTAACAAGAGTTGCATCAGGTATTTTTGACACTGAAAATATCAGAAATGTGGCAAAAATAAGAACAGGCATTCTCTCATTGGGAGTCTCATACTGCAATGCTATGCAGTTACTCCAGTCTAAGCCCCTTGATTTCCCCCTTTCCACAGGATCGCACTGTGAGGTACTCAAGAAAGAGAATGAAAGAATGGCCAAGGTCATTCTGGGAAAAATATATATATATATTTACAATGTGCCTTCTAAGCTGTGGAGTGAGCAAAAATTCTACTTTGTGAGCTACTGGCATTCAAGTTGAGAGCGAGCGATTTGGCTACTGCATAACTTAGGCCCCATTCATACGAGGCGGGAGCCGGGAGCGGGCCGGATTGGAGGCGCATCAAACGGGCGCGATCCCATGCCAACATCTGGCTGGCGTCGCGCTCTCGCCTCCAACCCGGCCCTTCCCCCGATGAAGCGCCTCAAAGATGAACCACCTACCTTCGTTGGTTCATCCAGTTGAGGCGCTTCTTCCCGGCCGTGGGATCGGTGGCGCGTCTTGCCGCCGTCGCATTCCCGGCCCCCCTGCCGTACTGCGCATGCTCGAGCATGCGCAGTACGGCAGCCTCCCCTCCGAGTCGTATCTTCCTCCCCGGCATCTGATCGTGCCAGGGAGGAATGGAGCGCGGCAACCGGGATCCGTGGGATCCCGCCGGGGCGTGTTTTGTTTGGCGTGGCTTTTAAAAGCCGCACTTTGCCCCGTCGTTTCCCTGCAGTATGGACGGGGCCTTAGTTTGCTCTGGAGCCATCCTTCCTGAGCTAAGACAAAAAGGTGTGAGCCAGAGGCTAAAAGACTGTGAGCTAGCTCACACTAACTCAGCTTAGAGGGAACACTGAACACCTTGTAGGATGGAAGTGTGGCAGAGAAATAGCGTTGGCATTACCAAGAAAGGTGTGAACTGAACATCAGTTGAACAAGCAAGTTGTCTTTAAAAAAAATAATGCAACTGTCCAGCCCATTCATTCCAGTTGACCTTGTGCCATTGGCCTCAATGGAGAGCTATTTCTGTCTTATAAAAGATGGAGATTCTGTTCTAGACCAATAGTCAATCTTCCCCTGCAGAAGAAAAGCATTTCTACTGTGTCTCTGCTCTGTACCTTTTGCTGTTTGACATCAATAAAGCAGGGAAAGTTTGAAAGAACCGTTGCCCAGCTGATGGTTGAAATGTCCTAGCATTTATAGTGAGAAGGGAGGGCAGCGGCCAGACGGTAACACATCGTGCCAAGCCTGCCATTCTCCACAGTTCCAAGAACAAAGCCCTTGATGTTGGTCCAGTTGCCCTGTAAGTATAAAATATGGTTTTATTGGTCGGTGTATTCAGTCCACATTATGCAGCAGAACCATAAAATCACAAGTGTTTGAGAGTCACTCTGCAAATATGTGCATCTATGAAATTGTCATATGTTGAACCAGAAGTAGAAGCCACAAACAGCTGGCTAGCCTGAAAGGCTGACATGCAATGAACTCTCCACTAATTTGTGTTGGAAAGCTCGATCATCATGGCATTGTTGTGACTGATTATTAATCTATATTTAGTTCAAAAGCTGTTATACAGGTGCAGTTCAAATTATTATCTGAAAATGTCTTTTTCTTAGTGAATATTTGTTTGTTAAACTGCTCAGAAAGTAATGTCGATATGAAAATAAATAATATTATTAGGCTCCTAAAAAAAAAAAAGAACTCTCCACTAATTTTTTTTCTTGGGTGTTTCTTGGGTTTTTTGGTGTAGCCTCCCAGCCCCATCTTCCAACTGGCTGGAGGACAATACCCAGAACTTTCATAAACTAATTATAGAAGTGGAAGCTGAAGAGTTTTTTGGGCCTTTGCCAGAATTGTGATATATTCCAAATTACAAACAAATTGGGCACATGGCCTCCAGTTAAATTCTTATTCTAAAGGTTAGCATAGTTATTTTTTTTGGAAACAATCCAAATGCAGAAATTCTTGCAACACAAAATCATTGTATGCAAAGGAATTATTAGACCAAAGAAGAGTGTTGTGACGCCCTCCCCACCTTTTTGGAAATCGCCTGAAGTTTCAAGTTGATAGAAGTATGAAATGAAAGCACCGAGTTTCCACAGGGAAAAATTATCCCTAAAATAAAATCTTTACTATGGCTGGAAAAAGACTGCAGCTTTAGAAATTATTCCAGCCCAAAATAGCAGTGTGCCAATGTTAGGGAAGCACATGACCCCCATCTTCCTCTTTTGTATGGATGAAATGTTCACAAACTTGCGATGCAAGGTTTTCCTTTTTAAAAAGTTTAAACTTCAAGTAAGACCTCTCAAGGAAGGAAACAAATGCCAGGGATAACTTCTCATGAGGGAGGATGGGGCAGGTATCATTGAACATAGATAGGGTTGCCAACCCCAAGGTATGGCCTGGAGACCTTTCCCAGAATTACAGCTAATCAACAGACTGATAAGATCAGTTTCCCAGGAGCAAATGCCTGCTTTGGCAGTTGGGCTCCATTCCATTGTACCCCACTGAGGTCCCTCCCCTCCCCAAACACCACTTTCCCCAGGCTCCACCCCCCCCCCCCCCCCAATATCCAGGAGTTTCCAAACACTAAACTTTGGTGAAGACCTGGGCTGGAATCTATATCTAACAAGCTGAAGACCATGCCCGTCTACATCAATTTTGAAATGGTTTGCTGTATGTGATGTCAACAAAGGTGCTGAACTGTTACCATAGCCAATTTGAAGCATTTTCCCTCTAGTCCTTAATTTAGACCAAAACTGAATGAGAGCAGAGGCCCACAAAACGCACTTAGAAAGGCAGAGTTCCACATGGACCCATTAAATGTTTTTTCTTCTTCTGTTTGTTTCATTGCTTTGTTCACTACAATTTGACGTGCGTGGTTCTTGATTTTGCAGTCTTGTTTCATTGCATTGTTTTTTGTATGTACAGTATTTTCATTTGTGTTGCTTTTAATTGTATTTACTCTCCTTATTGGCTTTTACTGGTACGGCTTTAATTGTGTGATCCACCTTGAATCTCAGAGAGAACGGCAGACTGTAAATAGAACGAATGAATGAATGAAAATAGTCTTTGTGCCCCACCTCACTGCAGAACAGAGGGACCTGTGAGAATTATGGTTGGCCTGCCGTGGTTTGACAAGCAGTTTCCTCTTGGGCTTAGATTAACTACACAGTGTTCCAGTACATTAGTTAAAGGGTTCTTAATTCAGGCAAGGGTTCTTTTACATGCAACTATTTGCATGCCAGCATAGCTTTTCTGCAGGATGTAATATTTCGGAATACAAACACACTGCATACAAAAGAGGCAGCATGGGTTTGTGTGCATCCCAGATTTCATAGAAATGCGCCGACAGATATGTTAGCTCGTGGCTGGCCACAGTTTATGTGCTTTCAGGGGCACCTTTGTTTTCCAAAAAGAGAGCCATGTTAGAACATGCATTTTGAAACACAAAACTCTCATAGTCTGGCTCCATAACAGAGATTCTGACCTGCTGTGAAATGGAACTTCAATGGTTATTTCACATCTTTGCTATGATTCTTACTGGCAGGTTTTGAGAAAATCCATATCTACCTCACAGGCTGTTCTGGGGACAAAATAAGGGTGGGGCCAATGTGGTACCCTGAATACCACGAATGAAGGACAGGATGAAACTCAGTCAGTCATACGCGCTCAGCCGCCCTAACCTATCCTATAGGGTTGTTGTAAGGATGAAATGGAGGAAAGGAAACCATGCATACCACTCTGAACTTGTAGGAGAAAGGCTAAAACAAACATGTCATTTATTTAGATGTCTCTGCTCTGCTTTTCGCAATGGGGACCCTCCTCCATTTTAACCTCACAACAACTCTGTGAGCTAGGCTAGGCTGAGAGCACGTGTCTAATCCAAGGTCAACCAGCAAACTTTCATAGCAAAGGAGTGATTTGAACCGGGTCTTCCAGGTCCCAGTCTGAGAGCTAGGTAGCTACATCAAAAATAAAAGCCTCTTCTCTTTTGCACGTGGACATTTTAGGAATGATCTTTGTCATACCTTCTTAAAGTAAAAGTGAGGCCTTCCTTTCCTAGGTAGCTTATAAATAAATTTCGGATCAGTCAATACACAGAGTTTAAGCACACAGAATTAAAAAAAATGGATTTATTCAGCTATTACAAGTCTGCGAAACAAAGGCTGAGTTCAGACTGCCAGTTTGAAGCACGAGGGAGTCGTGGCAGGTACTTATTTGCATATTAAGCGTCACACCCCTAGTGTAGCCAATCCTCCAAGAGCTTACAGTAGCTCCTGTAAGAAGAGCTCTTGGAGGATTGGCTACATTAGGGGTGTGTGCCTTAATATGCTACAAAAAGAGCCCTGGACAAGTATTCCCGGTCACACTGCACCAACTGATGCGGGAGCATACTGGGGAGGAGGCGCAAGGCAGCGTTCGCACTGTTGGCCCACCCCTGACGGAGGCGCGGCTGTAAGGCTTTCTTTTTGGTAATCCGGAGATATGCACTTATGTGCATATGCGCATCAGCAGTTGTGGCTTTCTGCGTTCACACGTCCAGGAAGTGGGATGAACGCACTCTCAGGGTTTGATACCACTTTCACCAGGTACTTTTTAAACTCGGGAGGGAAGCGTTACAAGATGGGCTGGGTACGGCTGGGGAACGCCGGACAGCTGTGCCTGTGTGAACGGCCCCTTCAATCCGGTCGAGAAACGTTTCTGAAACGTGCCTGTATCAGGCCAAACTGCCAGTCTGAACTCAGCCAAAATATTGTCAAGGTACCTCAAAATCTTTTCCAAGATATGCTGAATTCTGCCACTGGTATAAAATTTACAAATTCAAGCTTGCATGGAGTTTCCTATTTCCTACAAATACTTCATCACTCCTGCCTGGCCTCTGAGGTTCCATCAGCTCTTGCTCACACATCCTTTCAAGCCAGTCTTGCCAACATTAAGGGCTAGAGTACTGTTTTTTAAAAAATAACAAATGACTGAGAGCATGCTGAATTCTGCTGCCCATACCCAGCTTGTCACACACAAGTCCATATAAACCCCTCACTCCAAGCACCCACTAGGGCTGCCAGCTCTGGTTGGAAAATCTCTGGAGATTTCAAGGTAGAGCCCAAGGAAGGCTGGGTTTAGAGAGTGGAAGCAGCTCAGGAAAGTATAATGCCATAGAGTCCACCCTCCGAAGCAGCCATTTCCTCAGGGGAAACTGATCTCTCTCATCTGGACAGCAATAATTCCAGGAGACCTCCAGGTCCCACCTAGAGTTTGGCAACTCACACTATATATATTCTTTTGGGAGGAAGTAGCTCTCTCCTTGTCTCCACCAGCTCAAACTGAGGCCTGCATGTCTCCTTTAAGGATAGGAAGATTCTGTCTCTTTCTCTTTTCCCCTAGCTGGAGATGTGCTTTAAAGCTTAGCCTTTTCCCAGTGTTGCATGGGATATTTCAGCCCTCATTTTCACTTTTCACAGCCGTCTGTCTGACGACAGGCCAGGCTTGAGGGCAGAACAATAGACGGGAGCAGATTGCTCTGCATACACAAGGAAAAGAAGTTTCAGGATCTGAGGAATAACGGAGGCTGGTGAGACACACATACACGCTGGAGAAACAAACATAAATGTGAAACTAACCTGAGACGGGTGTCCTTCGGAGATTTCACCGTCTCCCATGAAACACCAAAGGACAGCCCGAGGGACTGCTGGTTCAATGACCTTCACATTACCAGCTCACTGGTCGAAGAAAGGAGGGTGTTCGTGGGGTCTATAAATAGGTGCCATGTGATCCCACAGCAGGCACATTCCACTGGGCACTGACAGCATGGAGACTTTAGCAGCAACAGGGCCTGCTGGAAAGTTGCCCACTGCCCTGACATTTCCGAGTCTCCTTGCCACAATGGGAGAGTTCAACCTTGTGGCACTTTGCATGAAGGAGGACTAGGCCTTTAGGTGCTGTCCCTAAAGAGGCTGGAGCCCTGAGTGCCTCCATTAAACGAAATAGTACCATAAACTCAAATAAGGAACTGGGATGGCGGAAGGATGGCCATCCATGGATGAGAAAGGAACTAGATAAGAGCCCTCAAAAAGAAGAAAAAAAAACTGGTACAAATTGATTTACCTCCATGCACGCAACTGTATACATTTTAATTTAAATAGAAATGAAACTCACACCACATTGCTGGCTTTGTCTGCTATCTAGGTGCTGAATTTTGACTGGGAACTTGCAAGGCCCCTTGTCAGCTACGCTGCCATGGGGGTTGGGGAGTTCATTCTGTGTCTGGTTAATTGCTCTTGCATTCCTATCCCTGCTGTTCTCCCTTTGCTGAAATGCTTATCTCTACAGATGTGCAGGAGGAGGTTGTGTTGTCTGGAGAACTCCTATGTACCGTGAGAGACTCCGAGTTCTCAGCTTTAGCCACCTAACGGTTGCCTGACTTATCCCGCACGCGGGAGGGTGCCTAATTGGCCAATGTCATGGGGGGTTTGCATATGAATACCCTATATCCTATTAGGGTCTACTGGCTGTGGCCATTCTTAACAGTGCCTGTGTTACTGCATCTATAGCTTTGCAATATAAGTATAATCGTTCCTGAATGCGTGTACTTCATTGTTAGCTATGGGTTCTGACACCCCTGCTCTTTTCTTCTTCTGCTCCTCAGGAGATGGCCTTCTTGGTCGTAGCACCAAAACTCTGGAACTCTCTCCCCCAGAAGACTCGTCTGTACCCTTCTGTTGCCATTTTCTGCCAGCGGCTGAAGACTTTTTTGTTTCATTTGACATTCCCTAGCATTTATGGCTGCTTCATCCAATCCTAATGGACAGACGGAGGACCTGGACGTTTCAGGGGACAGGAAAGCAGCCTGTCCTGTGAAAAAAAGAATGCTTCTGGTTACCATAGAAAATGGTCTAACATATTGAAGGGCCTGAAATAGAATATTTCTATTTTGTATCTCCCACCTAGTAAAAGGATAATGAAAAACTAAAACACTTAACCACTTCCCTTTAATGGTAGACAAAAATCTACCACCTGAGGGTAAATTGAAAGATTGGCCCTAACACTGGGAAATGGCCTTCCCATCCAAATCTTACCCCCTGTTCAAAAATGTTGCTTATTCTAAGAAAATGACTTCCATCTCGGGGGAGGGGGAGAGAATGTGCACATGTGTGCTAGAGAGAGGGGGAGCATGTGCAAGTCTTTCAGTTCTGAGGCAACAGGTCAAAACGATACAGATCACTCCTCTCCCTTCACTCTTGCTGAATTTAAAACAAATTATTTTAGAATTTTACAAAACTACAAAAATTATAACTATTACATCATCATAATAAAGAGCGAGGTAACAGGGAGTGTGAAGAAAGCTAATAACAGTGTGGGCACTTATAATACTATCTGTGGAAACAAAATATCTAGAAGAGCAGCAGCCATAATCTAGCCCAGTCTAATGGGAGGTTGGTCATGTGATTTAGGAAGAGTTGTCCATTGAGGCCAAAACTACATGCCCAGCACTGCAAAAAGAAGCTGCCTTCTCGTGTCCTTTTCCCTGACATATCCAATGTCTGATTTTGTCCAACAGATGCAGGAAAACTGTGGAACCTGTTGCTGAAAGCAGAAAAGGGGAAGTTCTGAAGGTTTATACTTCAGCAAAGACCTCCAGACCTCATGCCTTTGTGACCTGGATGGTTAAAGTCACACTTCACTCACAAAAAAGCCCAGTTTGTACCTAGTGCAAAGATAGCTTGAAATCTGGAAGTGCAGAAAGGAATTTTAGGATCTTATACTTTCTAGTGTATCATCAATGGTAGGGTAGGGACAACCAAGTCCATAAAGATGGGCAATCTACAATAGCTGATGAGTGATAAAGGCTGGAATTTTAAGAATATTTTCCTGGGAGTAATTCCCACAGAATAAAATGGGACTGACTTCTGAGTAGATCTGTTGCCAAAATCTCCTAAGCATTTGAAAGGTAATCAAGCTATCCCAGGGAAAGAAAACCAAGGCCAGAATAAGCTTAATCATCTGTATAGGCTCATTTATGTAGAGGCATTGTTTATGTATACTATTTTATGGGACTGTGTGCTGTCTGGGGAAAAAAAACAAAAATAGATCCAATCCAATCCAAAGCCTTTTATTGGCATATAAATAAAAATACAGTAATCTAAGTACACACAGAGTCAAATTAAAATTGCCGAGTAACATCACAGAGTATTATCATAAAGAAAAACCTAATTCATCATATCATTTATCAGGCCGTAGGGCCATGGCACTGCAGAGAAACTTTGCTGTTATTTCAGTTATTTCTGTGTCTGTGTTATCGAGCAAGAAAAGAAGCTTAAAATCATCAGGGGACTCTAAAAAATGGCCTAATATGGGATATAGAAGATCCCGACGGGACACCCATATGGACGGACAGAGAGGGCCCGCATATATTAATGGGGACAGACAGTGGCAATCTGCCACAGATAATGTCTGCCCCTCTTCCAGACTGGCAACCTGCATCTTCTCAACTGAGAAACTGTTAGCGAATTGATCACTGGATAATGTTTGAGTCGTTGCCAAATAAAATTTATGTGCTGTTGATCCTTGCAGTCAGCCAACACCTACCTCACTCTTTACAGGAGGGGAAATTGTGACGTGTACTCCAGGATACAGTGGAAACGTGACCAACTGGGGGGAAAATACAAATACCAGATTTCTAATTTTTTATAGCACTCATTCAAAGGGCTTGGACACAGATGTTGCCAAGGACAAATGAATAATCCACATCGGACAACCACATCCTGCCTGTAACCCTGTACAATCTCATGGCAGAAATATAATTTGATGTGATTCTTTTGTAGTAATTAATTGTTTTGTAAAATTCTTTCATTCTGAATAATAAAAGGGTAAAACCAACACGGTTTGCTCATTAAGAGAGCATCTGCAGCTCACTTGCAAGACTTTTTCTTACTGTGATTAATATCCAGATAAAGCACTTCCTATGACATATTGTTATGTTTTTATCACATGCACTGGCTGTTCCTTCTGTACCAATTTACAGCATGAAGAACAGATACATATGTTGCTCACAAGACTATCTGGGATCAGTCACTAACTGAAAATGTGAGCAGGAAAACCCCATATATGCCACCCTGAGGTCCTTGGAGGAAGTATGGGATTCATGGGACAGAGAACCTGCTTACCTCCTTAACAGCATCCCACTTCCTTACAGATACCTTCTTGGTTACAACCCCATTACCTGTCTTCCACATTATACCTTGACTATGCTTCAAACTTCCAGTCCTGACACTGACAACTAAATTCTTCTGGAACAAGGCAGAGTTCATATGAAAGGATGCACTGCACTTCCTTTGACCAGTTGTAGCTGATGTGCTTTCCCTGTTCCAGCTGCAGGCCATGGGCCCATGACACCAACAACATCCAGCTCCCTACACAGCCCTCACATGTCACCGTGAAACATCATCCTAAGGTGAACACCAGGGCTATTTTTGGGCAGGAACGCAAAGGAATGGAGTTCCGGCTGGCTCCTGAGTTGGCCACGCCCAGCAGGAACTCATTAGCATAATAGGCCACACCCAACAGCAGAAACTCATTAGGATTGGCTACATTGGGGGTGTATGGCCAAACATGCAAACGAGTTCCTGCTACAAAAAAAGCCCTGGGTTTTGACAAGGTAAACAGAATAAGAAGCAAAAGGTGGGTGTGGCTGGATGAGCACACTTCTGGTAACATGGGGGTGTGGCCTAATGTGATAATGACCTGTGTTGTCAGGGGTGTGTCCTAATATGCTAATGAGTTTCTGCTGTTGGGTGTGGCCTATTATGCTAATGAGCTCCTGCTGGGCTTTTTCTACAAAAAGAGCCCTGGGACCACAAAGCCAAGCAGCCCTCACCCTTCTTATAGGGGCTATAGCTCAGTAGTAGAGCATCTGCTTTGCTTGCAGGAAGTCCCAGATTCAACCTGCAGCATCTCCAGTTAAAAGGATTGGGTAGTAAGTGGTATGAAGGACCCCTAGCTGAGGCCCTGGAGAGCCGCTGCCAGTCAGAGTAGACAAGATTGACCTTGATAGACCAATATCCAACTCTGTATGAGTCAGGCAGATGCGTTCTGATGAAGTCTTGCAAGAGTATATTTCTAAGAGTTATTTCCTGGCAATGGAAGCACTAGAGTATGAAGCTGAACCAGACTTCAAAGTGCCAGGAGGAGCTTTGGTTATTATCTGTATCAGGTAAGTGCATAAAGACTGCAGGATCTTTCACTCCCCCCTGGGTAGATAACCAGTATAGCCCTGTCTTTTAATGCCTGAATTTAGAAAGGCACTTAGTGCTGGTCAGTACAGACTGACAAACTATGGAAGGATTATTACCTGTCTGTTCTGGAAGTTAAGATGGAACAGGGTCTTTTTATAAATCTTTTTTTAAAAAGAGGAGTGAAATTCCCATAAGGAACAAGATGAAAAATGCTGCCAGGAAACAAAAACATCTGGATGAAGAAACACTACAGATCTTGCGGAAATACCAGTTGCGCTGTTTTAAGTGATAAATGGTAGACTTCAAATTATGATCACCAAACAACAACAAAAAGCTGGGAAAGGTAAAGTTTGTAACACGAGGCTTTAAAGCCCTGTCTGGGTTGTGGGCTGCACCCAAATTTGGAAAAGGCTAACGTCAGAACAATCAGAATGCTGGGAGATCTGTGATCTTAAAATGTGATTTTAAAAATGCTAACAGAAG